GCTGCCCCCTCCGCCCCGACCACTTTATTTCGGCGTTGTGTCGACATGTGTCGCTATGTGTCGCTCCCCAGCACCCCAGCGCACCGCCCCCTCCGCCCCGACGGCTTTATTTCGGCGTCGTCGTCCCCCCCTCTCCCTCTCCTCAGCAGCCCAGCGCGCTGCCCCCTCCGCCCCGACCACTTTATTTCGGCGTTGTGTCGACATGTGTCGCTATGTGTCGCTCCCCAGCACCCCAGCGCACCGCCCCCTCCGCCCCGACGACTTTATTTCGGCGTCGTCGTCGCCCCCCCCCCCCTCTCCCTCTCCTCAGCAGCCCAGCGCGCTGCCCCCTCCGCCCCGACCACTTTATTTCGGCGTCGTCGTCGCCCCCCCCCGGTCCTTTTCCCCAGCAGCCCAGCGCACCGCCCTCTCCGCCCCGACCACTTTATTTCGGCGTCGTCGTCGCCCTATTTCGGCGTTGTGTCGACCGTGCGCCACTTTCCCCAGCAGCCCAGCGCACCGCCCTCTCCGCCCCGACCACTTTATTTCGGCGTCGTCGTTATTTCGGCGTTGTGTCGACATGTGTCGCTATGTGTCGCTCCCCAGCACCCCAGCGCACCGCCCCCTCCGCCCCGACGACTTTATTTCGGCGTCGTCGTCGCCCCCCCCCCCCCCTCTCCCTCTCCTCAGCAGCCCAGCGCGCTGCCCCCTCCGCCCCGACCACTTTATTTCGGCGTTCGTCGTCGCCCCCCGGCCCTTTTCCCCAGCAGCCCAGCGCGCCGCCCTCTCCGCCCCGACGACTTTATTTCGGCGTCGTCGTCGCCCCCCCCCCCCCATCCCCCTCTCCCCAGCAGCCCAGCGCGCCGCCCCCTTCGCCCGACCACTTTATTTCGGCGTCGTCGTCACCCCCCCCCCTCCCCTTCTCCCCAGCAGCCAGCCCAGCGCACCGCCCCCTCCGCCCCGACCATTTTATTCTCTTGCACAGGGTGTTTTAGAGCTCCGACCATTTTATTTTGCGTCGCTCCCCCCCCCGCGTCCTCAGCGCCAGAGTGGGCCCCCGCGCCGTGGCTCTCTGCCCCAAGCCCCCCCGCGTCCCCAGCGCCCCAGCGGGGGCCCCGCCCACTGCCCCCTCCGCCACGAACGCTTTATCCCGCGTCGCCCCCCCCCCCCCCCGCGTCCCCAGCGCCAGTGTGGGACCCCCGCGCCGTGGCTCTCTGCCCCAAGCCCCACCGCGTCCCCAGCGCCCCAGCGGGGCCCCCCGCCCACTGCCCCCTCCGACACGAACGCTGTATTACGCATCGCACCCCCCCCTCCGCGTCCCCAGCGCCAGAGTGGGACCCCCGCGCCGTGGTTCTCTGCCCCGAGCCCCCCCGCGTCCCCAGCGCCCCAGCGGGGGCCCCGCCCACTGCCCCTTCCGCCACTAACGCTTCATCCCGCGTCGCGCCGCACACCACCTCCCCCACCTCCCTCCCCGCGTCCCCAGCGCCCCAGTGGGGACTCCGCCCCGTGCCCCCTCCGCCCCGACAGTTTTATTCCGCGTCGCGACGCACGCCACCTCCCCCCCTTCCCCCCCTTTCCCCAGCGCCCCAGTTGGACCCCGCCCCGTGGCCCTCTGCCCCAAGCCCCGCCCAGTGCCCCCTCCGCCCCGACAGTTTATTCCGCGTCGCGGCACACACCACCCCCCCTCCTCTCCGCGCCCCCAGCGCCCCAGTGGGACCTCCGCCCCGTGCTCCCTCCGCTCCGACCACTTTATGCCGCGTCGCGGCGCGCGCCGCCTCCCCCACCCTCCCCACCTGGGACTTGGGCCCCGTTGCTGGGCCCAGAGGGCGATGCCTTGCCCCCTCTTCCCCCCTCCTCCTCCACCTCCACCTCCTCCTCCTCCTCCTCCTCCTCCTCCTCCTCCTCCTCCTCCTCCTCCTCCTCCTCCTCCTCCCCCTTCCTTCTTGTGCAAGGGCTATGGCACACGTGCCACTTGTTCGGTGCAGGTGGCCTGTCCTGGGCACGGCGCGTCGGCGCCCGCTCGCTCGGTCCGCGCCCGCCGGACGACAAAAAAAGGATCTGGGCCAGGCGGGAGAGCCGGCCCTCCTCCGACGAGGGTGGCCGCCGGGCCCACGGTCGGCTGCGCGAAAGAGCAGCCCTCCGCCGGAGCGACCTGCGGGCCCACAAAGGGCCCGGCGTCACTGGCGTGCGCGCTCGGATCCCAGACCCCCTCGAGTTATGAAAAAAAATCACGACGGGAAGTTTTTCGCTATTTTTGGCCTTTGGGGGCCCGTACCGGCCCTCGGGACCGTCAAAAAACGACTCAGGACGAAAAACCGGTCATGGGGAAAGGGTCGGGACTTCGATCTGGGGGTCGACGTAATCAAAAATCATTACGTCGGGGGTCTGGGCCCCCCCTTCCCCACCCCCCTCCACGCACGACGCCCCCCTAGAAACCGCGCACCACACGTCATCCTTGGAAGGGCCACTCTCGCGTGCAGCTGGCCAGGTGCCCGGCAGGATTTCCGGGGAGGCCCGGGGGTGGCCTCTGGGGCACCCCGTCGCCAGGCCCACGGGGCCCCGGAGGTTTCAGGGCGGCGCGCAAGGCCAGGAGCACCTCGGGCTATAGGGGCACGCCTGGCAGCACCTGGTGCTCGTGCGGCTGGGATGGGGCGGGGTGGGGGATGGGGAACCCAGACCCCCTCGAATTCTGAAAAATCACGACGGGAGGTTTTTCACTATTTTTGGCCTTTGGGGGCCCTTACCGGCCCTCGGGGCCGTCAAAAAACGATTCAGGACGAAAAACCGGTCCCGGGGAATGGGTCGAGACCTCTGGGGTCGACGTCATGAAAAAATCATGACGTCGGGGGTCTGGGGAGGGGGGTGCGGAGGGGGAGGGGGGGCGCAGGGAGGGGCGAGGGGAGAGGTTGAAGGACGAGGGCGCCACGTCCTTGCAGGATCATGTCTTCGGCCTCGTCGCCCGTGCTCTGCTGGTGCGTGGTACCTGCGATGATGAGACGCATCTTTGCAGATCAGAATAGACCAGGTGGTCTACCAGGTGGGGTAGTCTTCCTTTGAGATGGCGCAGTTGCCTGTCTAGATGTTTTTTTTCAACTCGATGACCTGCCTGACCTCCCCTTTTTTGTTGTTATCTATCTCTCTCTCTCTCTCTCTCTTTCTCTCTCTCTCTCTCTCTCTCTCCGTTTCCCTGCCTCTGTGTGTGTGTCTCTCTCTCTCTCTCTCTCTTTCTCTCGTTTTTCTCTCTCTCTCTCTCTCTCTTTCTCTTTGTCTTTCTTGTCAGTTCGCTCTCTCTTATCCTCTCGCTCTCTCTTATCAGATCCCTTCCTCTTTGTGTGTCTCTCTCTCTCTCTCTTTTGTTATCTCTCTCTCTCTTTCTCTTTCTCTCTCTCTCTATATATATATGTAGTTTCCTTTGACGGTTCAGATTGGGAGCACGTATCCTCATAGGCACATTCTAGGTTCACGCCTCTAGAGGCAAGCGTTCTCCCTCTCTAGAGTCGCGTGCGCCCCCCTCTAGAGTCCCTTCTAGAAGTTCCTCTAGAGGCCTTGTAGAGGCACTTCAAGTACGCCTCGACGGTCCATCCTTCTAGAGCCTCCACAAGTATCTTCGAGTCCAGTTGCGCGTCCTAGAGAATACGCGATCGCCGTTCGCCACCCACACTTCGAGAAACAGCAGGAGAAGGAGGAAAATAGGACGAGCACCGGCTTTGGTGAGCTTCCCTTCTCTGTCGCCCTCCAGAACCCTTCGCGTGCCAACGGCTGGATCCGCCTCTACATTCCGATTCCGACGCATCCCTCGAGGATCGCGACTCAAGCGCACGCCTCGACGGGCCCCACCGCAGGGACGAGATCCGAGGATCGGTGTTCACCGAGCTTCGTCGGCTCTTCGAGGTACGCTCGCCGCGGAATGCCTTCCAGCAGCTGGGCCTCGCCGAGGGCTCTCCGAAGCTGCCCAGACCCCCCCATGCGGCAATCGGGTGCCCGAGCTGCCGCATTCCGACGCCAATCCAGACGCACCGCTGGATGGCCCCCCGGCTGGATGTTTCACCCCAGAGCCCCTGGCCGCCTGGCACTCCAGTGGCTTGCTGTCGCGGCAACCAAAAATCCGCCCCCCGCCTCCGCCTCTCCCCTCTTCCCGGCACACCCGCAGAGGGCAAGAACAGCTAAACAGCAGCCTGGCGAGTGGCCCAACCCTTAGCGGTTTGATGTCACGTTGGCGATGAGCCTCTCCGTGCACGATCCGTGCAAGAGATGTGCTGAGCTGTGCCGGGGGCGCGCAGGAAGGTCCTAGCTGGAGCTGCAGGTGGGGATCCCATGTGAGTCACGATCCTCGTGGGGTGTGTGCCGAAATGGACCCGCGTGCGCCACGCGAGTCCTCCCACTGGGGCCGCAGGTGGAGCTCCCGAGGGGGCCACGATCCTCGCCAGGGGCGCGCCGACATGGGCAGGCGGAGAACACGGGGCAGGGAGAGGAGCGGGCCCGCGCCGCCCCCAGCGACGCGTGAGGAGGAGGAGGAGAAGGGGGAGGCGGAGGAGGAGGCGGAGGAGGAGGAGGATGATGATGAGGAGGAGGAGGAGGAGGAGGAGGAGGAGGCGGAGGAGGAGGAGGAGGAGGAGGGGGAGGACAAGGAGGAGGAGGAGGAAGAGGAGGAGGAGGAGGAAGAGGAGGAGGAGGAGGAGCCAAAACTGGAGGAGGAGACGCAGACCATGGCGCGAGGCTCGCGCGTGAGCGACGGGCCCTACTTCCACGCAGCATCGCGCCGCGCTCGGCCGCCCCACTCGGGCGGCCTGGGCCCCATGGCGCCGGGGGGCGCCCTCCGAGGGGGCGTGGACCTGGCGCCTCTGCGCGCCGGGTCCACGGATCCTTCGCCCCTGCTAGCGCGCGCCCGAAGGAGCGAGGGCTCGGCGCCCCCACCCCCCGCCCCGAGCTCGAGCCCGCGCCCGAGCCCGAGCCCGCGCCCGCACACCGGCAGGCAGGTTTCTCGGACGAGTCTGCCCGGGAGCCCCCCCCCCCCCCCGAAGGCGGCCGCGAGCCGCGGGCGGGGGCGCCGGCGCCGGGCGCTGCGGCAGTGGCGCGGCGTGGCCGAGGCACGAGTGGGGCACAGGCAGTCCGTGGCCCTCGCGCGAAGGTGCCCCGAGCGGAGGAGGAGGAGGAGGGGAGGAGGAGGAGGAGGAGGAGGAGGAGCAGGGAGGAGGGAGGAGGAGCAGGAGGAGGAGGAGGGGAGGAGAAGG